TTTTATATGAATTAGTTCGTGTTACCGATGAATCAGTTATGGAAAGACAACGTTAGGTACTTACATTTATGGAAGTTGATTTTCTTCGGTGCATATTTGATGGAGGAAATAAAAGTCCGAGAAATGCAGAAATTGTACATATAGTGTCCACCTTATTATCACATAATCCTATTATTTTTGAAAAAAATGTTGGTGATTAGTTTAAGAATAGGGGAGCTTGTGAATGAAAGATAAAGCAGATGTGCACAACACATCGTCAATTGAAAAATCTTATGCATGAAGTGCGACATGATCGACGTTTAAGGAGCTTCAGTTTAAGAGGTCTATATTTATATTTATCTTTTCGTCCTTAAATTTTGTGAGACTTTCCAATTTAGCTATATGTTTTTTTGTGCTTCATCGTATTTGTTTTAGCTTTTGATGGTGTTTATTATGTGTTTTTACTTTCGGTAAAATAAAGGTATATTGATATGTTAAAGGTATAACATTAGCTGCTAATATTTTATCCTTGTCGAATTTTGTCAAATTTTGTGAAAAATTGTTTCATTGTTTAATGATTTATTGTGCATTTGTCTTCTTTTCTTTTCAATGCATTTTTTTATATAGAATAGAATGGTTAGTTGTAATTATATTTAGTTTATTTATATAGAATGTTTTATTCCTTACTATTTTCTTTTTTCAAATTGCTTTTTCTTTCTTTCTTCTAGGTGATGCTAATCAACATTTTCAATCAGGATATGTTATGTTACTGTTTAATATACAGAACAAATTGATAAAGGAAGTATTTCTAATCTTACTATCGAATATACAAGACAAATTGATAAAGGAAGTATTCCTAATCAACCTTACGTCTTGCCATCTTCTAAAATTTGTGGTCATTGTGGTGCAGCAAAATTCTACAGAGAAAGCAAATGCTTTTGTTGTTGTGATGAAAAAATCAAATTACATTTACATGATATGCCTCTTGAAATGTATGATTTATTTACTTCTATATCTAAAGAAGTTGTAGCTTTTAAAAAAGTTGTTCGCAGTTACAACAATCATTTTGCATTCACTTCCTTCGGTGTTAAGTATGATAAAGAATTGTGTAAGAATAATGAAGGTATATATGCTTTCAAAGTTCAAAGACAAGTATACCATTTTATAAACTCACTTGTATCGATGGATGAGAATCTAACTTATTTACAGCTATACTTCTATGATACTGAAAATGAAATTTGTAATAGACTCAATGCTTCAGATAAGTTTTGTGAGTTCACTTTAAGAAAGTTGATAGATGTTCTAAACAAAAATCCATATTCAAAGTTTTTTCGATCATTAAGTGAAGTTAGTGATTTAGAATCATGTCGTATTTTATTGAAGTCTGATCATGGTCTTGATCAAAGAGTATATAACTTGTCAATATTAGAACAAGTGGTTGTACGTAGTTTGGGCTGACGATGACCCATCTACAAATAGTAGAGGCCATGATTTATTAATTTATGGACATTCAGGTAATGCATATAAAGTTCAATACTATTATGATTTTTATGATCCTCTTCAATATCCCCTACTTTTTCCGTATGGAGAACCTGGATAGTATGAAGGTATTCAGAAGGTAAATGTAAGTGTTTCACAAGCTCCAGCTTGTCCAAATTTAATAGAAGTTAATCATGTCGATTTTGCGGATCAACACTTGGAAGTGGAAGACCATAGTAAACTTTATCGATTATAGTAATTTCTATTTTTTAACTGAATGTACTTATCTTATTGATTGCATTTAGTGGATGAAGTTTTTGTTGATATATGTTTTTCTTTCTTACAGTTTTGAAGATAAAGAAGAAACGAATAACTGTATCATGTCGGGAATTTTATTCTTACAAGCTTCAGATTGGGTGTGTAAACAATTCTAATTGTGTTCTTTTACATACTGGCAGACTTTATAGCAATATGTAATGAATATGTATGTTAAAATTGAAATAACAAGGTTAAACTACTTTCGTAATAACCAAAAGGTTATAAGACGTGAACTATATCGGAGAATTGTAGACAATGTACAAAATGGTGAGCATGGAGGTTTTAAAATTGGTAAATCATTAGTGTTACCTTTTGATTTTGTTAAGGGTCCTAGAAATATGACTAAAAGATATATGATGCAATGTCTTTAGTTCAGAGATATGGTAAACCTGATGTATTTTTGACAATGATATGTAATCCAAATTGGCTTGAAATAAAATGTGAATTGAAACATAGTGACGAAATACAGAATAGACGAGATTTCTTAGTACGAATATTTCGTGTCAGGTTTGAGGAGCTAAAGACATCATTTGGTTAAGAGAAAGTTGTTAGGTCCTATAGCTGTATATGTTTATGTGATCGAATTTTAGAAAAGAGGATTACCTCACGCTCATTTTCTCCTAATATTTAAACGAGATTCTAAGATTCGGAACTCTGTACAAGTCAACGAAATTATCTCATCTGAAATACCTGACAAAAATAAAAATACCCTTACTTGCATGCTCTGTTTAAAACATATGATGCACGGTCCTTGTGAGAATTTGAATCCCGAGAATGTTTGTATGGAAAAGAATTCTATATGTAAAATAAGTATCTAAGAGATTAAGTTGAAAATACTTCGTTAGGTAATGATTCCTACCCACTTTACAATCGTCGCAATGATAGTGTAAGTGTTAAAATAAGAGGCTATATGTTGGACAATAGATGGATTGCACCACATAATCCTTACATTTTAGCTAAATATGATTGTCACATTAATGTAGATGCATGTTCTTCTATTAAGGCTGTTAAATATCTATACAAGTATGTGATGTGAATCCACGTAGGCAAACACTACCAAACCAACAATCAAGATTGAAATCGACCCAAAAAAGCCAAAGCAAGGTTTTTGATTAAATTCAATAAATTTGGAACTAAGCAACTCGAATCGCCGACGATGTGCGGACCTCTTTATTACGCAAAAATATGAGAATCTCACCCGGTTAATTTGAACGCCACAAGAATTAGATCTTGATAAGTTCGTCAATTGTTAAATGGAAGAATAAGAAGAAAGCAATTAAAGCCTTTCAAATATCAATAATGTTAAGCGTTCTTAAACAATGGAATAAGAAGAATATTTATACTAGTCCTAAAAATCTAGGTAAAATCGTCCATAATATCCTAAATATGGTAAAAGTCTAGAAAGAATAGAATTCTATCAAAATAGGAAAAATGAAACGTGAAAAATGAAACTTTCTGCCAAGTTTTGTGCCATGTGGTCGCATGGTAGTCCAAGCCGCTGCCACTTTGGTCTCGGTATAGGCTCTTGTGGCCGCATATCAATTGAACTATGCCATCGCACAGTTCACCTTTGAGGCTCCTTTTTCGTCCTTCTTTATCAAGTCGATCCAATTGGTTTTGGCCTTAGTCTCCAAAATGAAACTGTCTCATTTTGCGTCCCGAACATGGTTTCATCTATAGTAGCCTTGACGAGCAATCCCATCGCTTCGTCCTTACTCGCATCATTGGTTCGTCTTCGACTATCAACGAATTCTTCCCTGGGCTCGACCTTGCTGCTTGCGTCTCTTAGATCGCATCAGTATGTATATAAGGTACATGACCGCATTCATTTTACTTTAAATAAATAAACAAATAAACACTTTGTTGATGAGATTTCAAGCTACTGAACAATTAGATGGATATCTCCACCTGAAACTATACGAAGGATATTTAATTTTGATTTATTCGATATATCTCCTACAGTAATCTCTTTGCAGTTACACACTAAAGATGCTCAAACGATTACATACAATGAGACAGATGGTTTATCAAAAGTTATAAATAAAGGCTATGTTTACCGAACAATGTTAACAGAATTCTTTAGAATGAATATTTCAAATGAAAAGGCAAAAACTCTACTTTATAAAAATTTCCAACTTATTTTGTATATGATGCATCCATGCAAATTTTGAGTCCCAGAAAAAGCAAGGATATTATTGTAGAATAGTTAGTGCTAATCCATGTACGGTAAGAGGTATTTTTTAAGAGTTTTACTAAATCATATTAGAGGGCCAAAATCTTTTGAAGATTTAAGAACAATCAATGGTATTGTTCTATCTACTTATTGTGAAGTAGCACAATAAACACAATAAATACTTACCCATTATTTCTGTAAGGTAAGTAAGGTATAATATCCACTTTAAGCCTTCTTTTTGTACTTTCTTAAATCAGGTCCGTTAGAACAAAAATTCGAATTCATCAATAAGGGGCCGTTTGATTGCAAATATGAAATTTGGGTGGAAAGAAAACAAATTGAAGGAAATTGAATTGCCTAGGATTTGTTTTAGTGGGAATTACCAAAATAGTGTTTGATTGCTATAATTTTTCACCTGAAAAATGTTAAACTAAAAGTGTCTTTTGATATTCGTTTGACTTTATTTTTCATGAAAATTGTCAATTTAAAAGATATACATTTCTACAATTGTTCTAGAATTTGTTTCCGTTGCAAAAAAGAAAAAAGATCCAAAAATCATCTATATTTTAATGTTCATTTGGCTTTGTTTTACATAAAAATTGTCAATATAAAGGATATCCTCTTTTACAATTGTTCCTAGAATTGATTTTCCACCAAATCATAGAAAATGCAAGTGTGTGGGGGAAAAGATGGAAAACGAATTCCATGAAAAAAATTTGCTATCAAACACACAAAATTGGTGGAAAATGGAATTCGATGAAAATTGTGCCAATCAAACATATTTGAAGTATTTCAATACTGGATCTACTTGTTTTCTGATTTCTCCTTATGTGTGGACGTCATGACTATAATCATACATCTAAAATTTCCACTCACGAAAATCAACAACAAAAAGATAACAGTTATAATCGCCTAGATATAAACATGGAATTAATAGATAGTTGCATGCTGCCCATAGACAACTGCCCTCTAGCAAATTGCCACTTATGTATTTTTGTAATACAGTGAAATTCATCTGAAGATCATGTACACTAACACTTCCTTCTTTTAAACTTCTTTGTTACAGCATTTGCCAAATGCATTTGTTTTCAAAATTGAAGTCCAAAATTGCACATTCTTTAGAGATGAGAGTATAGCCTTCTTTAATCAATCGCCTCAACAACTTTAACTCCATCTCTATAGTCTAATACAATAAATAGACATAAATTAGATATATCAAGTGTAGACTGAAATTAATTATGATGTGTAAGCTTCACTAACCGCAATACTGATATCTTTGTCTTCATTCATTATTTTTTTATCATGTCTCTTCCATACATATTGCCTCAAAAATCCCAATACGTATTGTATATCATAGTTTAGATTAGTGTTAAATGAATGCAATGTAATTAACAAGTTAGAATTAGATTTTTTACCCAACTTATTTAGCATCACCCAATCTCTAATTGTTGAATACCTCTCCATAAAATAGTCCTCTAGAGGATAACTTGAAGATTTTATCTTCGTATTATACTTCTCTTTTGTGGACATTTCCGGTTGAGTTTGTTCAAGTCTTGCTTTCTTGCCACGAATTTTATTGCTCTAGCCAGGAGTATCTTGCCATAAACAAGCAACAATAGCTTCCATATTTGATTCCCAATCACCCATTCTATTCATCACGTTGTTCTGTTCATCAATGTAAGATCTCACTGAAGTTAAAATGTTGTCCACATAAGATTTCATGTGAGATTGCATTCTCTGATAGTGATCTTCCTACTACTTTTGTTGTCGCTGAAAGAATTCTTTCTAATTATCAAAAATTGCTTGATAATGAGCTTATTGTGTTCTTGATTCTTCAGCCATATGTGTACCAAAAAAAATCCTGGCAGAAAGCTTGAGTATCCACATATGATGCAGATTGCATACAAGATTGGAAGGTAGAGTGCAGCTTTTGATATTGATGTTGGTGTCATTTTTGCTGTTCTTCAAATATTTGCTTCTGGTTTTCAAGATATTCAACATGTTGTTTTCTTGATTCTTCAACCATGTGTGCCTTCAAGTTATTGCAAACACCAGATGCATATTGCCTATGTGTACTAAACATCTCTTCCATCTGTTCTTTTGTTACATAGTTACAGTCAACAAAAGCATAATTAGGCTATACTCTAAATGAAGTGTATGTTCTAGAAGTACCAACATCATCAGCATTAATTGTTTGCTGCACACAATTGCTATGTGGAATTTGTGGTACAATGTTATCAAGTTTTCCTGTGATAATGTTGTCTAATATAGTGTGTTTATTGTCCAATTGTAATTCTTCTTTTGTTGGTTGTAAAACTACAATGACTTGAATCTATAAATGTAATAAAATATTAGAATTCTATGATATACCATAGTAGAATAATTAAATGTATAACTAATTGTAAATTTTCATATAATTACCATACCTCGTGTGTCGTCAAATATTGTTTTACAATTTTGTCTGTCAATATTCGCTTCGGCTTCCATTTATGTATTCTTGAAATTTGTAATGTTTTGTATCTCCGGTGTCCAAATTTCTTCCAAATCTTGGGAATGTTTCGTATATCCAAAACTGCAAAATGAAATTGAAACTAAATATTAGATATGTACAACATTAAACTATACAATGTATAGGAAATTAGGAAAAAAGAAATACCTGAAAAGTAAGATGATATCCATGTAGCGTATATTTACACTCCCTTTGCTCAGTTTGTTGCATTCTATATATTCTTTCGAGGTGTGATTGTTGCAATGAATTCAACAGAGCAAAGTATGCCTTCCAGCCCCATGGATACAAAAGAAAATCATCAAGCTACTCAACCATATCTAGTATTCTGTAATCAATGTGTCTTTTAATTGGTTTGAGAACACTCTATCAACATAACCAATCCAAGTTTCAACTTATCTTCTAGATCTTCACATGAATGGAAGACATCATGAAGCATTCTCATAGAAATCCTTTTCACACCATTGACATACTGGTTTCTAAGTCGAGGATTACTACCGTCAAGATTAACAGATGCTTTGTGGCAAGGTAATCCAGGGATTAAACAAAATTCTTGCATTCCAAAACGGGCAAGATGGTCATCAAATCTTACCCACACTTCATTGTTTTTGCCAGAGTTCACAATCCTCATTATGAATTTATGTATCAACTTGCTACTAAATTGTTGCTCTTCGTCTTTGTACATGAATCCATATATAAATCTATGAAAAATAGTGCACATTAGTGATGCTTATTCATTTGGTTGTAACAATTGTATCAAATCTCTAACGTACTGATGATTTGGATATTGACTAATAGTAGCACAAAACCATAGGTTTGGAGAAAAGATATAATCTAGAAACATCTGCATTAAAGAACAATACTTATTTACAAACTAATTTTTGGAGAAAATGTGATTACAAATAAAAATTAAAACATACCTTACACAAATATTTTCCACTTTATCCATATAACGAATTAATAAACAAAAAATTAGTACTATAAAACAATGTACTCAAGAGCATATCTTGATAGACAATAACAAAGTGAATACTTTGATGTATGGTTTTAGATAATCATGCCACATGGAGACATATAAATTTGTACTGTGGGAAATTTAAAGGAATCAAAAAGCCAACAACATGTCAAGGTCTATCAATAAAGATACCAAGCAATCAAAGGCACCCTACAGACACATATACTCAACAAACACACAACATTGATTTTTTAAAATAAAAGAAAGCACTATCACAATATACTCTTAAAGCATTTCAAAAACAATCCTATAGACCTATATTCCAGTATGTATCCATGGAGTATATCTTTACCTTCATTTTTGTTTCTGAAACCCTGTCTGTTTTTCTCTATATAGAGTCGAACACAACAAAAATTGATAAAAAGATAACATTTAGCTTTTCAAATACATCAAAGTAGATCAAAAGTAGTCCAAAAAAAATTCCAATGCAAAAAAGAAAAACAAATTAAGTAGAACAAAAAGAAAATCCACAAAAAAAGCAAGATTGTAGATAGATCTAACCAATTACCTGGAAATTTTTGTTTTAAAATTGACTTAAGATTTTGCTAAAGATGAAAAATCCAGCTGAAAGATGTTTCAATTTGAAATTCAAAGAAATGGATAGTTTGCACTCATATAGAAGCTTTTGACTCACAAGAAAAGTTTGTACTAACTTTTTGGCATTCTCCAAAAAAAAAAATTCAAGTGAATTGCTGCCAATTTTTTGTTGTTTACTTGTTGGATTTTTGCAAACAGTTTTTAATATACAAAAACTTTTACAGTAATTTTTTGGCATTTTCCAAGTACACTGATTGGTTTTCTAAACTCATTTACTATTTTATTTAATTCTTCACCAACTTGGTTGGTTAATTATAGATTTATTGTGACCTTTAGAGTTTTTAAAAAATAATCATTAGTATTATTAAGCTAATAAAAATACATTAAAAAAAATATACAAATCAAATTTCTTAAAAATTAATAGCAAAAAAGTAAACAAAACCTAGAATTAATTTCGTCTTATTTACTAATTTAATAATTTAAATGAACTAAAATAATAATAATAATTACAAATGTGCGGAATTGCTCTACACATGCCACACTTCGATTTTTATTTTTTTTAGAAATTATGAAACCTAATATTTGTCTGTTATTTGACTTCTACGTTTGTTATTTTATTAGTTTAAAAATATGCATTAAAATGAAAGATTTACTATGATGATATGATAAAAAATTACGACATTGAATTTTCTTTATTTTTTATATAGTAATTAAAAATTCAATATAAAATAAATTTTATATTTTTATAAAAAACTGTAAATCTAATAAAATAATATAACTAAAAGAATAAGTTTAACTTCGATATAATACAAAAAAAACTCTCAAAAAAAAAATAAGGAAATAATCATTGCAGTGCCAGAAGAGAAAACCAAATGAATCTAAACATAATAAGAAGAAGATAAAAAATAAAAAAGTAAGTGAAAGAAAACTAACATGAAAAAGAGAAAGAAAGAATCCTACCAAAAATTACAACAAAAAGATACTACAAAAAATTAACAACAATTACCTGGTCAATTTTTGTTCAAATTAGCAATGAAAGAGAGCTCCAATATGAAATTTGAAATAAATGATTAGTGAAAAGTATTATTGATTGCACTATACATACAATAACTTTACCATGAAAAGTAAAAACTTTTGTAGTGATTTTTGGCTTTTTCCAAAAATACTCACGTGTTTGTTACTATTTCATCTAATTCTTCACCAAGTTGACAGGTTAAGAGTATAGATTTATTGTTTGGTGTTGAAATTTTTTTAAATAATCATAATAAATCTTCTTGTTAAATTAATAAAATTACAATAAATTTTTCTTTACAAATAGCATAAAAAAAATAAAATCATAACCACTCTTCTTTTTTATTATTCCCAAATCAACAAATACAATACAATTATATAAAAAGAAGACAATATTGAATTACAACATTTAGTACTTAAGAAATTCAATATTAAATAAATTTTATACATTTATATAATATAATAAATCACATCGATATTTTCTTTTACGTTACTGAAAGAATATAATTAAAACAATATGTCTAACTTGATATTGCAAAAATAAAAACAAAAAATAAACTTTCAAAAAAGAATAACTGCAATGCCAAAAACAAAAGCTAGACGAACAAATATAATAAATATAATACAAAGAAAAAAAAACAAAAAAGCTGTGAAAAAGATAAAGAATCCTGCCAAAAAAGCCAAACAAATTACATGCCAAAACTAAAATGACAAAAGGTATCACTTTTTATTCTTCCACTATTCCATTTAATCCCTTTCATCTCTCAACTTACGGAACAAATTTCGCCTCTTCCATCTTCTATCTCAAGTTAGCACAGCTACAAACCAAATCTACAGAAAGAAAGTAGTTTTATTTAATTTAAGTTTTACTTAGGTTGGAAGTTTGATGCTTATCTATTAATAAAAATATCCCTACTTAGCTAAATTATATTTGTTATATTTAATTACTTCATATTGAAAACTTGAATGTGTGAAATCATTTGACGATTTTTCGAGATTTGAAACTTTCAATTCTACATATTTAATGTTTTCCTATGTATATATAATCAGTTGATATAATAATATTATGATTAATGAAATTTTGTTTGTAATTTTCTTCTATCCAATTTCATCAATGAAGAAAGTAATTTTACAGGAGATAAACATACCAGAAGAAAAAATACAGTTTTCTTTGACAATGCATTAACAAAACTACAAATTTCAATTTTGAAGTATCTATTTCACTCAACCTAAATTTGTGTTGTTATTGCTAAATTTGTGTTTTTTTTTTGTCACTAATCCTTATCATGTCAGACATGCATGTACCACACTGTTTCTTTCAAATTGTTAACACTTCTTCAAACCATAACATTCGACTAGTAAGTCTTATTGTAGTGCTTATACTTTCTTAAAACTAATAAAATCATATATCAGCTAAAAATACTTTTAGTTTTCATTGTATAGTTGCTTCCAAGATCTTTTGTCGAATTAGGACATGAACTTGCCAACAGAATACATCTAATTAGATACGATGGTATAATTGCTACCATACAACTAGAAAGAGTTCATAACGACATTTATCTAGCTGGTGGATGGAAACAATTCTTCGACCATCACAATTAACAAGATGATTATGTTATTGTGTTCGAATATATTGGAAATTCTACCTTTAATATTTCCATACTTGACGATTCACAGCTAGAAGTGACTTATGATACATACCACTCCGACTCCGAAGTTGTTGAAGAAGAGGCATTCTATACAGGAAATCCCGTCTTTAGACTAACATTCAGACGTAATGACAGTCGCAAAATTGTAAGTTTTCTTTTACTTATATTTCCACAATTTTAAATTCTTTTTTTCGCTCATTTTTATTTTATTTTTAGTATGTACCTTCAAGATTCAGTGCAAAACATCTACCCAATTTTATATGAAATGTTCGAATCCATGACTCTTCGCATCGCAACTGGACTGTTTCTACGAGTTTGACAACAAATGGTGACGTATGATGTTTCACCACAGGTTGGTCAAAATATGCTACAGAGAAACAACTTCAAATAGGTGACGTATACATGTTTGAGTTTTTGAGCTGCTATAACGAACTCCCAATTTTCATAGTACACAAAGTATGCGATGATGGATCCATTACTTCTCTATAAATTAATTTACTGTTATTTTGTAATAAACTTTGTGGCTGAATCTTCAATTTTCCAGTACAAGTATTTTCCAACTTATTTGGACTTAAACAAGATTTAGAAACATATTCTTCAGGTTCAACTCAATCATATCAGCACTGTCAAACATTGAATGTCAACAGTACAAGCAAAATAGTTTGTGTAATCTCATATATTTCTTATTCAAGTATATTTTTTCTAGATGTGACAAAATACCGTTATGCAATTGTAAAAACTAGTAATAATTTGCAATTATTTTCTTATATTATCGAAACATTTCTATATATTACTTCAAAAATATTCCAAAAAATTAAAATCCATACGCTAATAAAAATACGATAAATACAAAATTCGTGCAACATACGTAACATCGACTAGTGTTAATTAAACAATGGAAGAAAGTATTAAGTTCCATACTTCGAAAGTATCATAAATTTTCCCATGTAGCACTGCATGATACTTTGAGCAAGCAGTAACAAATAGGTTTAGCGAGTAGAAAAGATTTACACATTTTGACTTTTATATGTTGTAATCCGCTCTTCTTGCTCTTATGCTTAATGTATGTTTTGAAATTTATTAAGTCGACAAGACAATAATATTCAAAAAATAATACATTAAGTTGATAAGGCAATAACAATACATTAATTTATCTACAAGGTAACGAGTAGTAGATGATGGCTTCCTGAAGTAGTAAAGTGGACTTTGGAGCTGTTGCTGCTTTTATCACAACAAAATTGGAGCTTCTTATTCGCAAAAAATACAATTTATTATTATTATTATTATTATTATTATTATTATTATTATTTCTGTTTTTGGAGAACAAACTAAAAATGAAAGACATAAATAAACAATTTGGTGCCCTTCATAAAATTATTTACATCAAAGTCTAGTTGTAGTTGAGATCCCTCAATTTTTGCTCATTGTAACACATGTGCCCATAATTTTTTCTAGTCAAATTCTTATGCTCAACCTTCCATTAATTAGTACATTTTGTCTTTAAAGATAATTTTTGCAAAAAAAAAAAAATTGATGACATACTTTAAAA